GATGCTTAGCTCTGTGACCCTCTCAGGCGATGGTCCTCACTGTGATCAGGTCACGGTAGGAGCAGTAAAATGTATACTCCATTACAAGAGGATCTCTTTGCTGCTCTTTACTCTTTTTAATGACAACATGTTCGGTTATACGATTGAAAAACACCACCAAAAAAAGAATAAACATTTTTTTTCAACAAAACAGAGTTTTTTTTAATTACTTTTTTGCCTGGGTCATCTTTGACAGAAGTACTGCTTGCCACATACAGTATGCTGTAAAATGTTTGCCATGTAACAAAGCTAAGCATCACAGTCACATCCCTCCAAATGCCCTTGCACAATTTAGGTGGGTGGTTCAACAGGCTGTTTTACTGCAAACCCGACCACCCAAGTGAATGACGTCTTAGGCTCGCTGGATTGAGCAGCCATTTTTAGGCATGGAGACCAGTCCAATGGCTTCTTTGCAAACAGTGTTGTGTTGATTGGTGCTATTTACAAATAACTACAAAGATGTTGTACAATGGTCCAAAGCACCAACTTTACACATACACAGTCCTGACCAGCAGACCAAACAAGCCTAGAGCTGTTCAGCCACAAAATGCAGCTTTCATATTTTTACAAATCTCAACTATACAAAGGATGATGTATGAACTAATGGGCAGCACAGTGGCTAAATGGTTAGCACTTCCGCATGGCAGTACTAGGGTCGCTGGTTCGAATCCCAACCATGGCACCACCTGCCTGGAGTTTGCATGTTCTCCCTGTGTCTGTGTGGGTTTCCACCGGGTACTCCAGTTTCCTCCCACACTCCAAAGACATGCTGATAGGTGAATTGGCTCCTGTCTAAATTGGCCTGAGTATGTGTATGTATGAATGTAAGTTAGGGACCTTAGATTGTACACCCCTTGAGGGTTAGGGACTGATGTGAATGTACAATATATATGTAAAGCACTGTGTAAATTGATGGTGCTATATAAATACCTAAAATAAATAAATAATAACTCCACAGAGGAAATCTCCAGGCTCTCTGTGAGACATGTGATACATCCTGTATGCCAATAAATCAATAGCTCTAGTTTGAAATTCAGATTGACTGTCTATTCTTTCTTTGTAGGTGTTAGTAGTAGAATTTTCTGCAATCATTTTTCTAACAAGAATAAACCCCTAATTCAGATTTGCTTGTGGCTAATAGAGGGCACTGATGGGGGGTATAGCCAGCCCTTCTGTACAGGGCCCAAGCCCCATCAGTTCAGTGGGGCCCAGGTGGGATTTGCATATGATGAGCATAAGCAAATGATGAGCAGATGAATTTACATATGAATACGCCATGATATTTGTATACAAATGATACAGGCCTGATTCATTGATATAAAATACTATGGCTGATTTAATCCTTGATATACAAATACTATGGCTCATTAATACACAAATCATTTGTCTCTATCATAATCTGTGTGGAGGATAAGCGGGACAGCATCTCTTTAACAGTAAAGCTGGGTCCTAGAGAGGAAACAGTGAAAGAGCTGGTGAGGGTTCAGTGGGTTAGAGGTACGTGTGTAGTGAATTGCATCATCTTTGCAATAGATTATTTATTACATTTCCACAGAAAGACGCACGTTTATCTGAAACAGTTCAGTCTGGTATTTAATATTTATAAACTGGGTGGTGGTTGAGGGGGAAGGGGGAGGGGGATCCCTGTCAGGTTGACTGCATGATACCCTATGATTTTTAATGGCATCCCTGGTGTTTGGAGCTTATACTCTTAATTCAGTGATCGAATCTTGAAAATATCACCAACTGCCTGAAAATATCTCCAATTGCCTGGCACTATTCATCTTAGAATCATATACAATGACTCCAAGGAAACTGATGATTTATGTAATTTAAAACTCTCAGGAAAATAACAAATGCACAGTTTAAAAAAGAATGAAAAAATAACATGTATTGGGTTAATAAAAAAATAAACATTCATACTCACTTCTGTGCTGCAGCATTGGTGTGATGCTGTAGCTGCCCCCCTCCGGCTCTAAGCCCTAGAACTGAGTGATCACATAACCACTGATTGCTCAGTTCAGGATCAGCTTGGAACAGAGAGCAAAGAGCTGAACTATCCCTTCTGTTATTTTCAAAATGGCCAGGTGGGTCTATTGATTTGCCACTTATGATGACCAGAGGGGCGTCTAAGCCTGTATGTCTGTTTTTGACATGCTATGGCCACTTGAGGAACTTCAAATCTGAGTTGCTTCTATCTTTGTGTTGCAAGATTTCTCTGACCTTGTTGGACAGCAATCCGGCCACAAAATGTTCCTTTAGCCATCCATCTGCATTACTCCAGCCAGCCCATCCTACTCGGTCCCTTTCCCTATGGAGTTTCTCTGTTTCTATGTCTTGCAGACACAAGTCCTTTCACAGAGGCACCTGTGGACTCCTGTATTGCTATAACATAAAAAATGTCCATAAATTGCATTTAAAATATAACCTCTGCTACATCAAATACATTTCTCCCCACAGTCTTCAGAAGGGAAATATTGTGCATAGGAAATCCTCAGATTATTTTCCCCAACAAAAAGAAAGGTTGAGAGATTCCAGAACAGAAGCCTTAACCTCCCTGGCGGTATGATTCTTTCCGATTTTTTGTGCTGAAAGCGGTACCATTTTTTTGCATGGAAATATGTAGTTTTTTATTGTAGGCTGTAATTTTTAGGAATAACTCACTGAAATCTGTCTGAACAAGAGTCTATTAAACATTCCGGATATGATAAAATTTGAAACACGAAATCATAAATTATAATTTAATAAATAATCATAAAAAAAATAATAATATAATAATAATAAATTTAATTCAATAATATAATCAAACCAAAAACACTGAAATTTGAAATACAGAGGCAAATTCGCACATCGCTGAGCAAAGTCGCAAAATCGTTTTCAGTGTCTGATGACGAATTTCCCCACAAATCATTATCACTCAATTCTGCAAGTGGTTCTGATTTACTATCGCTGTTCTAAAACCGCTTTTGACCTAAAGGGACGCTTTTTGGACGCCATGGACTTTTCTAAGTTTACAGACAGAAAGAACAGTAAAAATGCAGGCAGGGCACAGGACAAAGCAGTAGGGACAAAATGTATGTGAAATGCATTGAAATAGCAATGACAGCAAAAATGAAATTTTTTAAAAAATTCAAATTTCCCCGTAACACAGGAGCCGGATGCTGGCATCGGCCAGAGGAGATGGCCGGGGACGCTGGAGGGGACACATCGCGGGAGCGAAGGACAAGGTAAGTGCTGCAGGGACCCCCAGAACAGCGCCGCAGGGTAAGCCCGAGTGTAGCTCAGGGTTACCGCTTTTGGTATAGACATTTTACCCCGAGCTACACTCGGGAATACCGCCAGGGAGGTTAAGGAAGCTATTCCGACTGCAATGTCATAGGGAGACTTGTGTTCTTGTTAGATGGAGCCCAGAATAAATGTACTGTTTTGCAAACGCCAAAACCTGTTGAAATATAAGAAGCCCCCCTCCATTCTGAGAAAAGGAAACAGGTGCATCCTGGGAGCTCAGACTCCATCTTAAAAACTGAGGGAGAGGAACCAGCCTTAATTCTTTTCATCACATGTCATGGACTAAACTTATTGCCATCTGCAGCCTAGTTATTTCACTGTGTTTTTATATGTTTTATAAATTGGTTGTATGTACTACTTATTTGTTTTTTCCCATTAGTCATTAGTTTCAGTACAGCTTCAAAATTACATTCTCTCTGGCTCATTGCATAGTTGGAGGGTTTAGCTGCATGTCGAGTTACGTACAGGGACATGTGTAGTGAGGACAGAACATCTTGGAAAGTTTCTACAGTTCTTACATGTGTACAGAGCAACTAGACTTGCAACTACGTCAGCTGAACTACTATATGGCAGACAAATGCACATTATACTTCTTGTTGCATACATATAACTCCCACAAAGTCCAGTGGATTTAAAATCATGAGCTCCTAGAACTGTTAAAAAGCAACATGATAAAAGTAAGACATATATTGATTGGAAACATGGCATGAGAGAAGTATACTTTCAACCTGTATGTCTAGAGCTAAGAAACATGGCTTACTGAAACAAGGACATTCCAAATTTTCCATTCCACTTAGACAGACAAGTCATTCAAAGAATCAGAAGACCTCTTGTGTGGACCATTGTTTGTGTGTTATAATTAAAATGCATTGTCTGTGTTGTGATACAATACTGGTAGCACCCTTTTATTTAAGTTGCTAAGTGATGGGAAAATTGAGTTTTTGGCTGGGTGGTAGTCAGCCAAGTTTGATTTGCATAGTTGTGCATTTAGCTTCTCACTAAGCTCAGTGGGGTGGTAGTCTCACGTTTGCCAGTAGCTGCACCACTGGCTATAGTATGAGGGCTTCCTGCCAGGCTGAGTTAAGAATATTCATATTTCCGCTGGTCATCCCAATGGGGGGAGAGTATAAATATTTGGGACAGCCATGTTCTCACTCTCTTGCCTCAGGCTGAGAAGGTGCTGCTGGGCCTAGGAGCTTGATTGAGGCCTAGCATGCACTGGGTGTACAACTCTACACATCTGGCCTAGGAAGTTCACTAACTGGGAAACCACTGAAGGCCTTGCTGCTCATCTGTTTGCTGTTCATCAGGATCCTGGCTGTGGCAGAGCTATTGGGTCCATACCTGAAACTACAGAGACACATTTGAGACTTCACCCTTGAGGATCCAGTCTATTATAACTTCACTAGAAGGCAAGAGGAAGCTAAGTTTGGGCAGCTATTCCCTGGTCTCATGAGTAAAAGACTGTTTACTGATCTGGGTGATGCTTGGTGCTGCAAGGATATAAGAGCCAATGAAGCTATAGAGGGTGCAGCTCACACAGTGTCCCCAAATCTGGCCTTTCCTTTCCTTCCAGTCTCAGGGATCAGGGATTGCTACTTACAAGATGGGGCACTTAGTGTCCTCTTTTTTTAAACTTTTTTTATCGGAGTATCCCATCCCATTCCATCTTAGTAGCCTCCCTGGCTGTATTCCCGAGTGTAGCTTGGGGTAAAGTTTCAGCACCACAAGTGGTAACCCCAAGCTACACTCGGGCTTACTATGCGGCGCTGCTCCGGGATCTGTTCTTCACTTACCTTGTCCTGCGCTCCCGCGATGTCCCCCCTGCAGTGTCCCCGGCAATGTCCTCCGGCGGATGCCAGCATCTGTCATCTGGGTTCCATCCTCTGCGAGCGTCGGGACGTACGGGGACTGAACGGCAGGAAAGTTGAAAATGACAAAAAGTGACATTCACTAAATACACTAAAATCACATAGTAAAACATTACTGTTTCAAAGCATTTCACATACATTTTGTCCCTAGTGCTGTGTCCTGTGCCCTGCCTGCATTTTGACTGTTCTTTCTGCCTGGAAACTGAGAAATGTCCATGGCGTCCAAAAAGCGTCCCTTTAGGTCAAAAGCTGTTTTAGACCAGCTAGAGAACAGCGATAGCAAATCAGAACCACTTGCAGAATTGAGTGATAATGATTCGTGGGGAAATTCGTCATCAGACACTGAAAATGATTTTGCGACTACCCTCACTGACGTGCAAACTTGGCGCTATATTTCAAATTTCAGTGTTTTTGGTTTGATTATATTATTGAATTAAATTTATTATTATATTATTATTTTTTATGATTATTTATTAAATTATAATTTATGATTTTGTGTTTCAAATTGTAACATACCCGGGATGTTTACTAGACTCTTGTTCAGACAGATTTCAGTGCGTTATTCCTAAAAATTACAGGCCTACAATAAAAAAAATACATATTTCCATGCAAAAAAATTTACCGCTTTGAGCACAGAAATATGGACATAATCAGACCGCTAGGGAGGTTAAAATCTAAAAAGACATCCTCTAGACTGGTTAATGGGTCAGTGTGCATGGTGTTGCTAATGTGTGTGTGCTGGCAGCCTCTGGACAATCAAGAGAACTCTGATCATCATCTGTGTTACTGTATTTTTATCAAATTCTATCGTCATTAATCAGAGATCCCTGCCGGGGTACTGCTACATAGTTTGTATTGCTGTCTGTATTTTTCAATACTGAGGAAAAAGGCTTATTAGTACAAGGGAAATATGTGGTGTTTGTACCTCTTGTCTGTAGATATTGCTGTTTACAGTTGCTATAGGTCTAAAACTTTCGTTACTCTGACAAGTTTGTTTCAGTTCCGGTTCCTGTTATAGATACTCAGAAGCCTGTATATGTTTTGTGGATGCTTGTACTTGGTAATAACTTCTCTGCCTGCCAGACTACAGGTGTCAAAATAGACATTTCTGCAGGCTGCTGAGTTCCCCCAGCAGATCTCACAGTGTTAAGTGCTCATTCACATATATGCGATTTGGATGCGATTTGAACAGCATCCAATCCGCATGACGTGAAAAAACATTGCTTCCTATGGTGCCTGTTCACATATGTCCCGTGCACTGGCGGTGCGGATTCAGTGCCGTTTTAAAAAGAGCTCTGTATGATTTCTGAGCAGTGCGGTCCGGTTCAGGTGCAGATTACAGGCTATTGACTTCTATGGGAACTATTTCTAAACCACATATGTTTGAACAGGATAAAATCCTGAGCTAATCCTGTCCTGCACCTGATGTAAACCTGACATGAACTGCAGAACAACTACTGTATCAATTAGCTGTGAAACCTGAGCTTCAATCCGCACCGCACAGTTGTGAATCAGCTCTTAGGTGGTTGTAAAGGCTGAAGGTTCTTTGCTTTCATGCATTCTATTAATGAAAGTAAAAAACTTCAGTGTGCAGCCCCCCACCACACAGTCCCATAATGCTTACCTGAGCCCGATCTTGATCCAGCAACGTGCACGAGAGCAGCGGCTCCCCCCCCCGATCTTTCCCTCCCCATAGCCAGTAAGGAGGGAGTGGCTCCGAGCTGCGCTCTGTGTGTCTTATAGATGCACAAAGGCGGCTCAGGGGCGAGCATGCATAACTGCCCCCAGAGCAAGCAGCTTGCTCTCTGGGGGTACACAGCAGGAGAGAGGGGCCAGAAGCACCACAGAGGGGGGGGCCATAGAAGAGGAGGATCGGGGCTACTCTGTGCAAAACCATTGCATACAGCAGTAAGTATTAAAACAAAAAGCTGAACCTTTTAATATCACTTTAATTATCTCATTGACCAGGCAAGGGGTACATTGGTTAAATGCTACTAAAATGGATAACTAAGCAGCCACTCTGTGTTCTGTGACATGTCGCTCTCACAGTAAATGTAATAGAGAAAATTAATTCATTCCTGTGACATCACTGGACCAGGCTCTTGGATAAAAGGTATGTATATTTGATTTAAAAAAAATAGCAGGGGGGCTCCAGGGAGGTGAAGAATGGTAGAGAGTGGGGGTAACAGTTAATGCAGAGTTCTGCTTTAAATGTTTATTAGTAAAAAAAGACAGAATATATTATGTTAAACATATCAGCTTAAAATGTATAAACTTTACAAAAACAACTACTATAAAACTGACTGAGAATCATTATATTTCACCTTTAGGAAGCTTTGCTCTTAAACCATGTGTCTTTTATGGTACCCTGAAGAATTTCTATCATATCGCAGATGCTTCTGGTTTAACAGTTGTGCAAAGGCATACACTGAAGATCTGTACACATTGCACAGCTGTTTTGCTTTTTTTTTTTTTTTTTTTTTACTGTAATAATTGTTGAAAATGGACCAACGGCCTGTTTAGTGGATGACAGATCCCAGGCCAGTTTACTTTTGAAAGAACACCAAGATATTCAACAAGCAAAACTGTATACATGGGGAGGGGTGGAGGGGTATGCCCCACAGTAAAAAAAAAAAAAAAAAATTCTAAACCATCAATCTATCATATTGAAAAATAATCCTACATATACACTGAAAGTGGAAGAGTCCTTTTTAAGCCCAGCTAGTTTATTTCTTAATGAGAACATTTGTTGCATCTTTACTCTAATAATATAGTAGATTGGTCAGCCATACAGTTGCAAGAAAAAGTATGTGAACCCCTTGGGATTACGTGGAGTTTTGCATGAATTGGGCATAAAATGTGCTCTGAACGTCATCTAAGTCACAACAATAGAAGAACACAGTCTGCTGAACATAATACTACACAAACATTAGATGTTGCCATGGTTTAATTGCACATAACATGTAAACATTCACAGTGCAGGGAGGAAAAAGTATGTGAGGCCCTAGCTTAATGACTTCTCCCAGAGCTAATTGGAGCCAGGAGTGAGCCAACCTTGACTCCAATCAGTGTGATGATATTGGATGTGTTGCTGACAGCTGTCCTGCCCTTAAAAAAACACACACCTGTTTTGGGTTTACTGGTTTCAAGAAGCACTGTCTGATGTGAACCATGCCTCGCAGAAAAGAGCTCTCAGAAGACCTATGATCAAGAATTGTTGACTTGCATGAAGCTGGAAAGGATTACAAAAGTATCTCCAAAAGCCTTGATGTTCATGTGTCCACGGTAAGACAGACTGTCTACAAATGGAGAAAGTTTAGCACTGTTGCTACTCTCCCTAGGCGTGGTCGTCCTGAAAAAATAATGCAAGAGCACAGCGCAGAATGTTGCATGAGGTAAAGAAGAATCCCAGAGTGTCAGCTAAAGACCTACAGAAATCTCTGGCACATGCTAACATTTTTGTTGACACATCTACAATAAGGAAAACATTAAACAAGAATGGAGTACATGGGAGGACACCACGGAGGAAGCCATTGCTGTCCAAAAAGAATATTGCAGCATGTTTGAAGTTTGTAAAAGAGCACCTGGATGTTCCACAGCACTACTGGCAAAATATACTGTGGACAGATGAAACCAAGATTGAGTTGTTTGGGAAGAACACACAACACTATGCGTGGAGAAAAAAAGGCACAGCACACCAACATCATAACCTCATCCCCACTGTGAAACATGGCGGAGGGAGCATCATGGTTTGGGGCTGCTTTGCTGCCTCAGGGCCTGTACGGATTGTTGTCATTGATGGGAAAATGAATTCCAGAGTTTATCAAGACATTTTGCAGGAAAACGTACGACCATCTGTCCGCCAACTGAAGCTCCGCAGAGGATGGGTGATGCAACAGGACAATGACCCCAAGCATACAAGTAATTCAACAAAACAATGGCTGCAACAGCACAGAATACGCCTTCTGGAGTGGCCCAGTCAGAGTCCTGACCTCAACCCGATTGAAATGCTGTGGCATGACCTTAAGAGAGCGATTCACACCAGACATCCCAAGAATATTGCTACACTGAAACAGTTTTGTGAAGAGGAGTGGTCCAAAATGACTCCAGATCGTTGTGCAGGTCTGATCTGCAACTACAGGAAACGTTTGGTTGAGGTTATTGCTGCCAAAGGAGAGTCAACCAGTTATTAAGTCCAAAGGTTCACATACTTTTTCCTCCCTGCACTGTGAATGTTTACATGTTATGTGCAATTAAACCATGGCAACATCTAATGTTTGTGTGTAGTATTATGTTCAGCAGACTGTGTTCTTCTATTGTTGTGACTTAGATGACGTTCAGAGCACATTTTATGCCCAATTCATGCAAAACCTCCACGTAATCCCAAGGGGTTTCACATACTTTTTCTTGCAACTGTATTTACACATTACCTATACGGGATGTGCTTGCTGTTTATTGGATTTCATAGCAATACTTTTGTTTTGCTGCTCCTCTTTCTCATGTGATCTGACCGCCAAACATCTTCCCCCCAAAGAGAGTGTATAAAGCTGTCTGCTCATATGAATCTTATGTACATGATTTTACCCTGAACAGACACCCCTTTCCTTCCACTGGCCTAATCAAGGAGTTATTTGAACTATCCAGTGTGCAAACCCATTTCTACCAATTGACTTCTCCCGCAGGATGAGTCAGCCAAGTGTATATGTTTTCATTTAACCCTTTCACTGCCAGCAATGTTTTTGCATCTTTCTTGCATACATAATAAATTGCACATTTTAGGCCTAAAGATTAGTTTAAAACATTAGTGTCTTGAGAAAGCAGAGACCCTAGAGAATAAAATTAAAATTATGAGGGATGGCCCTAGAATTATTGATCTCAGGTGTTGTTTATCAAGCCTAATATGTTTAGCGATATGGATTTCATTTAGGAGCACCGGAAAAGTGTGTTTGCATTTGTATGTGTGTGTGTCAGTGGAGATAGAAGGGTTTTGAAACCTTGTTTGAGTTTTTTCTTGGTGGATATAATGTAACTTTGATTTTTAAAAACATTTTATTACTTAACTTTATTGCTTTATTAAGTACAGATCATTTTTGATCAGCTTCTTTTGCAGCCACAGAAGCAAAAATACTTGTCACTACCT